GTTCGATCGATTCCATCTGAATGACGTTCTGAGGTTCAGACTGATGACTTGTGTGTTTCGGGGGCACACTCTGGATCGGTTTAATGTTGCCTTTGGGTCTATTTTAAATTTCATGAATTACGTTTTTATGGACGAGTACGGCGTGATATTGGTATGAGCGTGTGTGAACTATGATGTCGGGTTTATCTGTGAGGCAGGTTAAATTGATGGGATACAATCGAAGACTAACAGTTAATTCTAGGTCTCCCAAAGGAAAACCCTGTAAAGCCGTTGATGTATTTCAAAACTTTCTGAGCAAATCAACAAGGAATCTTTCATTGATAGCGCGCAGCACACATGGATGAGTGAGTCACGTGCTATTGCTCAAAGTTAACTGACCTATACTAATCAGCTCTGAATTTGTATTAAACATTTGTCTCAATACCGGTCCACTCCGGAACTTTTATTGGCTACAATTGAAGTTGAATCTTTCAAAACCAAAGTTATTATACTAAAAATAAATAAAAGACAAAAAACTGATTTTTTTTCTAGACTGACGGATCAGTCCTATGACCCACCTCGACGATTAGTTAGGTTCCCGGCTTGCGCTGGAAAACAGGGGACGGTTGAGCTTGGTTGAAATGCTGTGGACCGTAACATACACAAAATGCTATTTCAATTCTACATACCTCCCCTATGTGCGATATGGATTTCCCAGGCACGCGCTCTTGTCTTGTTATAAGGCTATGGTTACAGAACACACCCGTTGTCTGTTTGTTGTGATATGCACGTTCATTGACGTGTATTGGTATTCGATCAAGACTTAGAAAAGACGCTTCCTGTAAAATAGTTAGCGTTCTCTACCGTGCTGATTGTAACAAATACAACCTGTCATTGCGCTTGTTTACACTTCTGATAATTCAATTTTCTCTCTAAACAAGGTTTCAGTTTAACACTGTGTAGAACAAATCTGTGAAAATTGTTCTAACACATAGCAGTTCAGACTACTGTAGATGTATCTATTACATAATCGGAGAATTTGAATGAAATATTCAAACAAAGGGTTTTTCTTAAACCGTCTAGTTGATGGAAATGTTGTTTATTTAACTTAAAGCCAGAATCATTGTTTAGCCTGAATATAAAATACGACTGAAGGTAGCAGCATCGTTTTCTTCTGAGCTTGCTTCTGTCTACAGATTTTATCATTCATTTCCTCCCTCTAATGGTTTGCTGACATTCTTGAAACTTTGAAAATAGCAGGTGATTGGATTGAAAATGGCAGTTTTTTTTTCTCGGTAACCTCGTGTGGGATTGTTACATTTCATTTATCCATAACCTCGTGAGATATCTCGAAAATTACACCATCGTTTCAATATTTCATAAGCCTGCCGTCTATCGATTTAAATTTCAACATTATACTTTTCCTCATATCCCGTGACGATAACAGTCAATGCTAGTAAAATATTATTTTTTAAAAGTTTCCATTCCTTTTCCAATATTCAAATAAATTCTTAAAAACTTGTTTCCGCAACAGCCTCTGGGAGGATCTGACGATATTAGCACGCAACAGTGTAACGCCATACTTTCTTCACCGCACGTAACGTACAGATTCGTTTCAACTCACTCACAACTAAATTAAACCGGTAACTACCGTGTATCTGTTTTAAGATAATTATAATTCAGAAGTCTAGTTTTCTGCTGTTGTTTTTAATTTATTATTTCAAATAGCTTTAAAATGGCAAATTAAATTCCAACAAAAGTAGAAATACTCTGTAATGCAAGCTAACCGTGCTTTGTAAAGGAAATAATTTTGAGTAATGTCGGAACAGAAAGATGGTTCCCTTGCCGAGAGCGTGTTAAATTCATCCGGGCGCTTTGATGTTCCAAGTGTTCAATATTGCCACAAAGCTATCGTGTTCCGCGATAGAAATGACTTTTACAACATTTATCGTCAGCAGTGTTATACCTGACGATCTAGAGAAGTAGCACATCATGATGTCTGTGGTGGTTCAACATCGTCTCATATATATCTATTTCCAGATTATCTCCCTCTTCCGACTTGTCCATGTTAACTAGATATTGGACCTGCAGATATTTCAGTCCGTTTTACGTGACTTTCATTAAAAGAACACGTCTTAAATTATATGGATTATAAAAAGTACACGCGACCTTTATACAAACAACATCAGTGAGAGTCATTTCTCTGCATATCGTTTCAATCTGAAGCATGACATGGGCCATCCCCGTGTGTACACAATGAGTTCGTTTCGTGTTTGCTTGGGAAAACATGCTTTAAGTCTCCCGTCACGATTCCAAAGACAATTGATCATTAGCGTTAATGAAAGGACAATTTCAAAACAATCGGTTTGTTGAAAGGTATTTTTATTGAGAACAAAACAGTCTCTCATGCTCAGCTGAATTTGCTGAAAATGTGTTTTTGAATTGCCTTCATTTTGTTGGGTGAATATTTTTATGAAATCGAGTTGGAAAACTATTAAATTTCGCTTCAGCAATAACACTAAATTAGGTCATGTCCCTTGCGTGTTCGACGTATCAATTCCGAGTGTTGTGGAGAAATGTGCACCATCATTACGCCTCCTTACTGATTTCCAGTCCGCAACTGCTTGATGAACGTTTCAGTTTTATTATCCAAGCCTCAGTTTTCAGAAGTTCTTGTTAGCTGTTAAAATCAGAGATTTCCTCCATAAAAGAAACCTTTCATATCGGGATTTTGTTCCGACATTTGTATTTCTTTCTGGGGAAATTTGCAACAGCATCTCAGAATATAGATTTGCGAAGTAAACACCAAAATACTATCATGAATACACAATGAAGGTTGCACGATGCGCTGTTTTTGATTTTTTGTTTTTTGTTTTTTTTTTGTTTGTTTTTTGTTTAAATAATCTATTTCCACCGGTTCCATTGTGTTTAATTAGCGGGGTTATTTGATAGAAATGTCTACCAAGGCGTTATCATCTGATTACGGGTCTAAAACCGTCTAAAATCCTCAGAATAGTGATATCACCTACCCCATTCAAAACAATCATTCTAAGAGGCACTTGGCACCATAGGTCGGCAATGAAAAACTCGTGGATATAGATGTACATTACCTTATTAATTTAGCGTTCAGACATGCTGGCGTGGTTGGACAAAAGAGATAACCCTTTTCTGAACTTACAGGTCAGTAACAGACCTGCAGATATTAGTCAGGTATATTACAGTAGCTAAATACATGCACGTCATTTATCGGTTCAACGGGCAAAGTGCATATGTATTGTTTTACGGCTGTTCATAAGGTCCGGCCCCCTACCTATCTAATGGGGTATACCAAATAGGTAAAGATATGCACATATGATATATCACATCAAAGGGCTCATGCTTTGGTAATCAACAATTATTTATTCGACAGACTGTTTGGGAAGTGGTATTATTAGCAGTTAGTGCATTGTTTGTTCGGGAGAGGTGTATGATATCGTAAATTGTACAATTGATAAGACAACGACTATAACGGCATGTTTTAACAATGTACAAATTTAAAGGGGCCATTTGTGTTGTGTCAATTCAGTTATATGTCAAATAAAAAAATATTCCTATTTCTCCAAATGTATGATCTGTTTACAATGCACAAATATAAAGTCGTTCTATATAGCTATTTATGTAGATGTAACACCGATATTGTCAGTCACAAACTGTAAACGGGGCAAATTAAAATTTCGCTGATGCATCTTTTTATATTTTTACATGCACTGCTTGAATAGAAACACATTTGAAACAGACGCTTGATACTTTCATCCATTTTATTTACAAATGGAGTCTTTTTATAAAAAGGCATTTTCAACACAACCGGTTGATTGTTACACAACGCTGAAAATGATACAAGTTGATGAAAATTAGGGGGAAGTACCTTGGTCGCCAACGTAATCTCATTGAGAAATATTCTATTTCTTTGTGTGACATGAAGCTGGAAGTATTTGATGCTCGTTAGTTTGCCTGTTGGTTCCGTTGTTCTTTACCTTATTCTCATTTGAGAACGTGATATTACTTTATTGGATTGACCAAGGTTTACATGGCGGGAACCATCGATGAAACATAAGACGCATACTCTTCCGGAACACTTGGTCTTATTCTCCTTTTACTTTTTCAGGAGTCTCCGTGTAAATCTTTCTTCTGTTCATATATTGCCCTGGTTTTATGGAATTTTAGTTTGGATAATGATGCCATATTGGTATGTTCGTGTTGTTTTTTGGAATATCGTAAGTTATTAATATCATCTTCATTTCTTGTCAATTGGATGATACTACAACATGTATTGATATACTGCGCTTGCGTATCTTTTCACTACTTCTAAATAGGGTAGTACTGCACACGCTTTCATGACACAATCCTCTGTGCTTCTCTGTTGTTGACAAAGTGGTTGATCCGGAATAACCACTGTTTACACAGTGCAGATTGACGAGGGGTTCCGAGGTCCACCACGCCCCTGTCACTATTCCTACACACATCGGCTCCATTACACACTCTATGTTGCTCTTTTACCTCCGAAAATCTAAATGAGACTGTCAAATGAACACAAAAAACGCGTAGAATATTGTACTGGGTCAGAAAGCCTGGCTTGAGTACAATACCCACTCGTTGTGTAAACGTAGGGGGCGTAACAACAGAAGACACGCAGTAAATGGAAGGGCGGGGTTGGAACAGACACAGGGTGAATACAGGGGGCGGAACGCTACCCGGAACAGCATTCTACCTATAAAGCACTGAGTAGGGCAAAGAGGAGAAAGCAATTTATCATTCACCAAATCCATTCTATATAAATCCCGCGATAAATGTATTTCAGTGAGACCCGTTTACAATACGTCTACATAACACGTGCAGTTAACTACGTATTATTTTCTTAACACAGAAAAGGACGTTAATTGTAGCAATAAAATCTGACCAGTGACTAGCTGACCAGCTCCTGTACAAATTATCTTGCTTGTTGTATGTTTGAGCTGTACCGTAATATTATTTTGTTGTTTCAGGGCTGGAGTGCGTTTGCACGACCCAGGAATGCATGGACCGGAAGATGACAACATGTCGTGCGTCCCATTACTGTTATAGCGAGACGATCGACGATCCATTGTTTAAGCACCTGACTTCCCGGGGGTGCATCGACAGCAGCACACCCTTGTTGTGTGAGAACCGTCGCCCCGCCAAGCTGAGGGCTGCATGGCCAGTTCTCCACTGCTGTAACGACAAGAGTTTCTGCAACAAAAATGTCGTACCAACACAGCCGCCACGTCCAGGTATGTACCGCATTTCCTCACAAACTGTACCGGTGAACACGACCCGATACCTACCGCATTACCTCACAAACTGTACCGGTTAACACGACCAGATATCTACCGCATTACCTCACCGTCAGTACTGGTCCACACGACCTGATATGTACCGCACTACCTCACTATCAGTGGCGGTCATAAGTTAAAAAAACCGACCAGATGCATACCGCACTACTTCGTCGACAAAAAACAAAAACAAAAAACAAAAAAACTCAATAAAACCCAAAAACACAAAAAAGACCAGGTTTGTACCCCACTACCTCACTCCGCTTGTTATGTACCGCACAAGTAACATAGCTCACAAACGGTACCTACATGTATCAACGCCACACTGTGCAACTAAATTTAAACGCCAGTATATTCCAAGTTTAACACACCTTCCTTACAATACTAGTAATATGGTCTCCAGTAAACGGCCCTTACTCTCTTTATTCTTATGTAATTTAGGTTGCATAAAAACCAGAAAACATTTAAACGGGTTTTAACAGACCTATTTGCATTGAAATATCCTCGTTAGTTGACTGCGTAGCACGTAGTTAAATATAATCCAAGGAATCATGAATTCCCTAGCCCTGTCATAATTCTGTGATTACGTAATGGCTGATGGAGAGAGATTGTAACCAAAAATTTCCATATAGACCAAATCCCATTTTAGATTGATGATTGCACTCTAATTATTTCAGAACTGATCGGTTATCGTAAACATGACATTTACATAACTCAGTAATGGTGCAAATCCGTCTTTATAAATATATCTTTATATATATGTATATGACGAAGCTCAAATTATTTTTAGTAATTTCTCGACGCATTATTGGCAAAATTTCCTAAGACGTTGGAGCAATAATCATGCCAGACTTTAAAGATAATGACACGGTGATTAAAATGAGTTTAGAACAACCATCCTGATAAATTTCTGAGAACTACAATAATTTAGTTGTCTAATTATTAAAAAGATTTCGTATATATATATTTCTGAGAATTAGAATCACTTTGCTGTTTGCTTTATTTAAATGATTCTGGAAGATATATTTTGGAAGATTTCTCAAACTATTGGAACAACAATGTACCTTGCAATTTCGTTTCGTTTAAATTCTATTTACATTTTTTATAGTACCGGAAGTGGAGGAACCTGTGTACGAGGATTTCAATACGGAGCCCACTCCTGCAACAGCCCGATGTCCAAACCAGCATGGGACCAGTAACTCGAACGGCATGATCAATCCCATTTACATAGCAGTTCCGGTGGCGGGAGTTTGTGTACTCCTTGCTCTTATCATATTTGCAATGTATCTCTTGCGCAGGCGCACAGACTATTACGAGCGGTACCAATATCCACGTACCGTATCGGTGCCCAAACATCACCAACAGTGCAGTGACGCAAAGTGTGCAAACGCATGTAAACTGAACAGGTGTACGGACAGTGAGCGATCATCATCGGGCAGTGAAACTAAATTATTCTTATAGGGGTGACTGATGTAATCACTACCCATATCACTACACTGTATATCGGCTACCCTACAGCAAAGTCGGAGTTTTTAATGTGGAGATCAGATCTATGGACACCTGTATTCCTGGATTGATACAGCTTCCATTATAACTCCGAGAGACATGTCTGACATGTCTGGAGGTCTTCGTCCAACGTCGGAGTCTGTTTTATCTGAACACCATTCGATCACTGGTGTGAATTGCAATGGCTTTCGCCAACTTGGCGGAAAAGACTTGAATGTTTCTTTGAAAATGATCTCCTATCAACGTTTGAGATGGAGAATATGTATAAGAATGACATTGACTATTCAAATTAATTACACAGACTTGTTTTTCACCTGTTAAGGAACTAAACTTTAACTGATTTGTAAAGAAACATTTTTCGTTGATCTCCTGTCCACTAGATATTGTTCGTTCAGAGCATTATATCTTTATATCTCGGTTATAACGATGGGAAAAATGACACAAAATAAGGGTAGCCATTTCGGACATTGTCTCATTTGTGTATCATTGTAAATAGTCATTTACTGTCAAGTGGTTTGTTTTAAGGCACTCGTTAAATATGTTCCATTATTATTTATGGGGAGAAAGGTCGCAATGTTAAAAGGACGAAAGATGGATGACGAGTACAAGAAAATGAAGAAAGAAGAGTATGAAAAAAGAATGATGACGCAATTTGTGAAAGAGATATTGTGTACAAATTAAGTGTAATATGACGACTGTGAGGTATCATTAGTATGTTACCTAGAGGACGTGTGTGTCGTTAGAGTAAGGGTTGGAGTATGAGTGGGTACACTATCAGAGTAAAATTATCGTCAGGATGAAAGTCGGTTGAACAAGAGGATGAATAGTGTAAGAGTGTTCAATGTAAAACAAGTGTGATGGATGTTTGAGGCTGGTGTATTGTAAGGTGTCATACTACACCAGATTACGTGTCAAGTACCTACTACTGTTATCGTGTACATAACCCCGATCTCTCACTAACAGCAAGGGTATTTGTGTCATTGTTTACCTCCGTACTATGTTTGTTGTTGTCGTCTTGCTGTCAGCCTCTAATCAAACACTCAGCTGAATCCGATCGCGTCATGGTCAATCAGAACCTCGTTTGATTCTCGAGCGACACAAGAGTTTCACTGACCAAATCGGTCTTGGTCGAGAACATTTTAAATCATCCATAAAAAATCCACCGGAGTATTATGTAAACGTTATTCGTTAGGAATATGAATAAGAGTTCTGTTATCAAATTTGCAATTTAGATGGCAATTCGAACACAAAAATATGATATATAGATAGATATATACTCCATGTCAACGCGTTATCAAATAGCTAGGCATAAAAATGAAGGCAGCAAAGCGAGCGTTTGATTGTTGTGTGCCGTGTTTCTGGCTTCTCTTCATGTTCATGTAAATACGGCATCTATTCCTCAGGGTAACTAAATGTCTCCAGCACATCTACTGCGCGCGCTCATATAACAGACAGAACGAAACGAGAAAATCGTAAAACATCGTATGTTACGGTAATGATATCGAATTCTTGAAAAAATAAGACAAAATAATCAAAATATAGCACTTCCTGTGTGTATGTTATAACACCAGCGCTTCTTAGTCCATCAATTCTGATATTTCTGTGCATCATTTTGAGAGGAACATTAAAATGGAAACATTATAAATAAAGCAAAAAAAAATCGATGTGTATACATTAAATATCAATATTTAGATGTATGATCGAGCTCGCGCACCGTACATTGTATATGTAAAATGTAAATACTAACAAATAATTTGTACATTTGTAAATAGATATATGTATCTCGTGATGTATATATCCTTAAGTGGTTACTATGGTAACGCATTTAGTTGGTTACCGTAGCAACACAGTCTGTAAGTGCTAATATCGTTTTGTCTTTCAACTGCTATCATGTAATGGACAATAATATTTTTGCATTAATTTACAATGGAATCAATTAATGTAATTAATGTTTGGCTAGTCAGTTCCATGACGTCATTGATGTCGGACATTATTTTATTGGAGGAGTCATTTGATAAGATCTTTTTTAACCAAGATCGTTGAAATAAGTTCAAACTGTCATGGCTTTCACTTCAACAAAAAACATTTGTTATCTTAGTTTGTCCGCACATTACATTTGAAATGCATTAATTATTCAATTGTTCTGTTTCATTACTGAAGAATCGATACGTTATGCATCTACAGCACATTGTTTTTTTCAAAATAAATTGCTTTATCTATAATTATGCCAAGAAAACAAACAGATCGTTTGATAATGATACCCACGAGATGTTGTAGAACTAGCGATATTGACGTGGGAATGTGCAATGCTCTTCAGTTTTCTTCATCATAAGCGACAAGGAGTGGAATCTCAGTAAGGAATTGCTAATCGTTAGGAATTTTTTTTTGTTGCTTGGTAGATTTAAATGCTCCAAATTATATTAACAAAACAAATTTATTTATTAGATTTTGTAGTTGTTTTTTAATTTTAAAATAACATTTTGAATTATCATTAACTTTTTTTTTCAAACTCTGACTGGTCGCAAGTTTCGGCTTCCATATAATGTTTCCTTATCAAATTTTTTCATAATGATATGACTTCATCATAAATCTTTATTAATCTTCATGATTTATGTTTTTTAAAAACAAGACAGCTACATATATAGTTTCCACGATGACGTCATTTCCGATTATATTTATTTCCGGTCATGCAGCATAGTATTTCTTGACAGCATAATGCCGAAGAATGTTTGTTGGAATTCTAGCAATGAATTTCATTATATTTGTCATTATTTTTGCGCAATAAGCGATAATCAAATGAATCTATTGTGATGGATGGGGAAATTTTAAATAAAATGAAATATATGAAATAATCTTTGTTCGCTTTTTATATCCGAATGCTAAGCCAAGAGCTGGTGTCAGGAATACAGAAAGGAGAGAAACTTTCAACAAAGAAAAATGTGCAAACCTCTTAATGATTCTGTCTAAAGAACACAATAACTTGTTTTATATACCGACCCAGAAGTAGATAGAATCTAACTGATGGCTAATCGGCAAGGAAAGACAGCGAGGAAGACAAACAAAAGAATTTCGTGCGAGAGGCGAAAGAAAAGATTGTATCACCCTCTCCTGAATAACTGGCTTTAAGACTTTACCCGATATTGACGAAGATAAAAAGTTAACACGAACACCGTTAGGCGGAGAGACCCTACACAACAATTATCTTCCCCTAGATCTGTTCTAGTTGCACGGGTTCACAGATATGAATAAACCAAAACATGTTCTACGGTACTTAGGTTTCATATTAGGCACATATACATATTTTCACAATGACAAAGGGCAAACGTTTGTGGCATTCACGAAAAAAAAATGCTACAATGGCATATGGTATTGAGCAGAACCCCTATAACGGTATGTTGTATATCCGTAGCTCGATATACGGTTGACTGCATGGAACATGCACTGTATCGCTGTCTTCCGCTGACACAATAACACTCGGTAACAGCCATGGTATTATATCGCGTAGACATTGTTTGGAAATGCATTGTTTTAAGGACAAATAAAGGAACAATGTGACGTAAACATCGCTGAAACATGCAGACACTTGTATAGGTTACATTACAATTACTCGAGTGGAATTGAAACGGATTACTCATTAAAAGCTGCATTTAAAAAGCCACTAAATGTAGACATACCAGCATAGACAGATACGGTTAATGAATACAAACGACAAAGTTAATGAGTACAAAACCGTTAATCATTGTAGGGATTTAATACATTTTTTTGTTACACTTTAATTCCTATTCGGAGGTTTGCATCGCTCTCAATTTATCAGCTTAACAGTTCAGAAAGCATCAAGTTAAGTTTTCATCCAAGTAGTTAAAACATATCAGCTAATTTTTTCATCCTAACAATTAATTCATATCACGCTAAATTTTCATCATAACGGTTAAGGTATATAATAACGCTTAATTATCATGCTAATTTTAAAGACATTACGTTTAACTTAAAGGTTAACAGTTAAAAAGGGATGGCGCTGAATCCTTAGCTTAACAGTTAAGAAAGGCATGACGCTCAATTCTCAGCTTTAAGTTGAAGAAAGCATCACGCTAAATCTTTAACTTTATAGTTTTGACAATAACACAGAGCTGTGTTCCAAGACGATCGACTTGAATTTTGAAACAGATCAGTCATGGCAATATATCAGCATTGAATAAAAGGTCAAGAATCAATAGCTTGTGTCCTCACATTATTCACAAATGTAAAATGTAAATAAAATATTCAAAAGAAATACAAAACGATTTAGAATAAGACATTTTGGTAACAACGTTTATCATCTTTCATTCATTTCCGCATCCGCAACATCGTGTAGAGAAAATTAAGCAATTGTTTTCTATTTCAATTCGTTCAAACGTGGGTATATCTCAAGCTTCCACTTACGCTTCTCCATCTAGATTTTAACATGCTTTGGTATATTTTGGGTTTCTTCAGTCGCCTCCTAGACTTCTTAATAACATTGTGCAAAAGACACAAAAGTGAATAGCACCTTTGTATGCAAATTCAGATACAGTAGAGCTAAACAATGAATTAACTCTATCATAAGGCTGTTTCATCTTTCCAGGACTCGTCAGTGATGCTCAGGGCCTAGGTTTAACTTAAGCCCTTAGCGTCACTGACGAGTTCTAGAAGAACAACAAAGATGTATAATGCAGTTTACTCGATTATTTTGCTCTGCCATTCCTATCTTTTATTTTCACTGAAAGATGATTTGATGATATTCACTTTTTGTCTTTTGTACAATTTACAACACGCGAGAATTGTTTTTTCTCTAGTATTAGCTATAATCCATTGTAATGACGTTCCAAGAGCGAAGTAATAGTTATTTCAAAATTGCGTAAACTCAGTTTAGATGTCGCTAACTTCAACAGACACACAAATGATTAAAAACTTTCAACGAAAATCAGAAATAAATACAGTCGGAGCCAATCCAATATAAACGTAACAATAGGTTAGATAAAATTTATCAACATGAAGAAACGAAGTGTAAGGGATGTCCTAGTTAATGATCTGTTCAAAATATTCAAAATTTGTCAATATAATTTTAATTATTATACCAGTTTGATGAAAAGAGGGCAAATATGAACAAGAAAAAGATTTCCATGGCAACACTAAAAAAAGGGCAAAGAAAATGAGACCAGATGTTTGGAAGATTCACCTTCTTTTGGTTTATCGATGATGGGTTTGGTCAATTCAATTAAGAAATGTCACGTTCCTAAAGGAGAGCAAGGTAAACAACAACGGAATCACTAAGCTTATCGACGAGCGTTAAATACGCCTAGCTTCATATCGTATAAAGAAATAGATCCTTTCTCGTTGTGATGATTACGACAATCTAATATTAGCATATTAAACACCATCACTTACACAGCGTCCGAATCAATATCTAAATAACATGTTGTCTTCCATGTAAACAAATAATATTCATAGTCACATCAAGCGTGCCACACAGCTTTCAAGTATTAAGATATCAAACGAATGACTGTTACATAATTTAAACACACACTCCAGTGAGTGACAACAATTAATATACTTCCAAATGGAGATTAGATGATAGAGGCAAAAAATGTGATGAGAAATTGGAGCTGGGATAATCAGACGTACAGATGGGTAGACAGATATTGAAAAGGAAGATATTTCCTTACGAAACGTTTTGAAGAAAATAAAAAAAAAGTGAATATGTTTTTTTTATCACTCGCTACTGAATTACGGTCTTAAGTCGTATACAAGCATCGTAGATAGACAATTATGCGCCGCATTGTGGATTTATCCTTGTAATTGCGCTGAGGAATGCGTACAGTGAAAGTGTCATTAGGAAAGGTTCTGTCAGGAGGGACAGACTATGACACGAGGCCACACAAGCTCCAACGACTTCATGAACTAAACTGTACCGACAAACGCCGCATATTATTCCAATAATTCATGCCTTAGTCCCTGTCCTTCCCTTCCATCAACAAAGTTGTACGGTCGCGTACTTTGACATCGTTACTTCTATTGCATTTCGATTTGAGATAGAGAGAGAAAAAAAAATGTTTTCTTAAGATACGGGTTCTAAGCCATTACTGCTCACCCGCAGTGTCGTGTCAGCCCGTCTCATAGATATGCCTCACCATTGTATAAAGTACCATTCTCAGTGGTGGAGCTTGTCACAGGGAAGATTACTTCAACCGATAAGAAGCTTGTGAAAAATTTTACGGTCTACATCGACGGCAATTTGCGATGTTAGCATGAGGAAAGTCCTTGGTCTTCACTGTCAAGCAGTTTAGATATCTGGCGAGCGGTTTATCTGATCAGGAACACCTTTAATCAGTATATTTCAGTCTAATTTTCAAGGCTAGTTGTCGTTGTTAAAAAAGATATCGCGTCTGACATGCGACGTGTCACTAGACCGTTTGAGTGGTAATTTACTCTCACCAGGAAATAGAAATAATTTGCTTTCATAAAATTTCATGATTGAAGAAGCTAGAATTCAATACAAAAGATGAAAAACTTGTGTTTATAATCTTGACACCAAGAGCCTCATTGTTCCGTCATACAACTGAAAAACTTTCAATCTGATAAATCTAGCAGTGTCGCGGAATTTCAGCAAACATACATGTATTTCAAAGAGAATCGTTGTTCACCTGTCAACATATTCACGACTTAATTACACAAAATTTGGGGAAAATATATCGTTATCAGTACGGACACCATATGCTTTATTTGTATAAGTTCATTCTCACTAGACCGTTCTTGTTTCTAATGAATGCAATCCTTCGGATTTGCTATTCACACTTCGATTATGATTTGTAGATAAGGTAAACGAAATGCTTCTCAGGTGGCATCTAAATTAACATACCAGCTTCACTGTAGTGTAAATCTGTTCGGGATGTTAATACCACAGCAGTCATATTGCTGTACTAGCGATTTCGGGGCTATTCGATGAACTATCGTATTTCCCAATTATATAGTACAATATATCTACTATAAGGTGTAAAAGCTTTCCTAAATACCACAGACACACAATAGAAATTTAGAGTTAGATACAGTAGAGCCAAAGATTGTACGAAAGACACACAAGTGAATAGTACCCTACAAATTTACATATAGTAGAGCCAAACAATTCATTAATTAAACTGCATTATACAGCTGTTACGTCCTTCTAGGACTCATCACTGATGCTATGGATCAAAATTTTGAAGCCTAGGAGGAATGAGGAGAAGCCAAAGTTATCGAAAGAAAAATCCAAATGTAGACGGGGCGGTGTTCTAACTCCACATTTAGAAAAAACCGTAATTTTTACGTGTTGAATAATTTTAGAACAGCGTCAAGTGTCCTTGTATAAAAAAAAACCCCAACATTTTAGTGTGGTTTCGTAGATGGACAGTTAAGTTTAATCATTTATATACACCAATGACGTAATTATCAACTGATAACCATAGAAACACAAGCTATAATCGATGGTAATAGTTATCGCCTCTTCAAAGAATCATGATAAACGTACACGGCACGGCTCATTGTCAGTGTTCTTGGTTTGGTGTTTAAAACTGTACGTGTGTATCACTGTCTACAGTATGAAGGTACCGGTGTAAAAGACGGATTGTATTTTAAGTAAAATTGTCAACAAATCGATTATTAAAGTTTATTTTTAGTTTGCTTCTGAATGACATACATGCATTTAGTGCATGTAAGAGTATAGGTTAGTATATCCTTCAGCATGGCCGATCGGAACAACATATTTGTTGCCTTTATTTACACACCACGCATTATGTTTCATGATTCATTATGTAGATCGACATTTTTATGAAATGTT